TTTTGGTCTTTTTGAGACAGGGTCTCCTTGTAGCCCCAGCTGTCCTGGAACTCACTATGTAGACCAGGCTGGCCTTGAACTCACAGAGATCCCCCTGCCTCTGCCTCCCAAGTGCTGGGATTAAAGGTATGTGCCACCATGCCTGGCCCGAGTTTAACTTTTTTTAAAAGAAATTTCACATATCTAATTCATGAAGAAGACAAATATAAAAGGCTGGTGATTTTAAAATGCATGCTAGTAGTCTCTTAATAATACATATTGAGAGCAGCATTCATTTAGTCTTCTGTAGGCAAAATATCAGCTACTATTACAGGGTCAAAGTGATGCTAATCCTTAATGTGGTGGCAAGGAAATGTGTTAGAGAAAGCCTGTCAGTGAGGCAGGAAGGTGAGATGGAGACTTACCGCTTATAAATTGTTTTTGCTCTATTTTTATTTTATGTGTATGCATGTATGCAAATGCACCGTGTCATGCAATGCCCATGGAAGACAGAAGAGGGCATCAGATCCCCTGGAACTGGAGATACAGAGGGCTGGAGAGATGGCTTAGTGGTTGAGAGCATTGTTCTTGTAGAGGACCCAGGTTCTGTTGCCAGCACCCTCACATGACAGCTAGCAACCATCCATAACTCCAGATCCAGGGGAAATCTGATGCCCTCTTCTGACCTCCTTGGGCACTGCACAACAAGGGTACACTTTCATACATGCACCAAAAAATTGGTGCAATACACTCATACATATAAAATAAAATAATAAATAAAATATTCTTTAAAAAAAAAAACCTCCTTGGGCACTGCACAACATGGGTGCACTTTCATGCATGCACCAAAAAATTGGTGCAACACACTCATACACATAAAATAAAATAATAAAATATTCTTGAAAAAAAAAAAGCAGCCTGAATTTCTGGAGAGTAATGTAGGAGCAATGGCATGGATAAACAAGGAGGATAAACACAAGGCTGCCTCCATTTAAAACTGGCAGATAGGACTTAGACTTGCTCCAAGGATCTTAGAAAACACCTTGGTTCTCTTGTTTAGTTCAAAGGATGATACAGGGCATTGTTCATGAAGGGATTGTCCAGAGTGCATCCTTTCAGTGGTTGGAAATTTCATGTTTAAGTGAAGGATAAACTAAGTGGAAAGAACAGTTGAACATGTCAGAACTCCATCTATTTAAGTTGATCACATTTTGCATGCTGAAGTATTTTAAGAAATTTATGAAAGTTGTACTTATTTTTGATTGAGAGTTATACATGTCTCACAGACATATGTTGGTTTATTTCAATTTTGATATTTTGCTCAAAATAATTTTTGGTGTTTTCCTGATTTCAATTCTACATAAAGATAAATCTAGCCTGAACTGAGGATGAACACTGACAAAGCTAACTACTTGTCACAGCCAAGTGACAAGGCTGCACTGCTGGAGGGTCAGAAGGGTGAGCGACCTATCTCTTCAAATTTTCAAATAGATCCCAACTTCAAGGATCAAGGAGCCCAAAATGAACTCCTAACTCATAGCTAAGAGGTCTCTGCCAAGCATATGTCTGCTTTTACTTTTACTCAGAATGAAGACTCAAAGCAAACTCCTGGAGCCCAGTTTATTTTGCTTGGAATCACCTGGTGTACCACACTTAGGTCTGAAATGAGCTTATGGGTGTAGACACGCCAAGCCTGTAGCCTAGCTCCCTGCAAGGTTCTTTTGTAGGGTGGATTCCATTCTGGGGCCAGCTCCAGAGGCACATACCCAGAGTTAGGTGGGGCCCAATCTCTACTCCCTTCCATAGTCCTCAAATCTAAGTCGGAGAAAGCTGCATTGTTCTGGCAGACACCAGACTGGGAATGGAGAACAACACACTAGATTAATAAGGTTTCATAAAATGAGGAGAGGAACCCCAGGTATGTGGTTGAATGGTTCAAAATGCCCATATGATCATGCATAAAGTGTATGCAGCAAGCGTTTCCAAGTCCTTTCTATTAAATGTCTACTTTGAACTTAACTAATTGCTAATATTACATCAACACAACCAATAATAAAACCCCCAAAGACTTTATTTGCATCCCCAGTAAATCAGTGAGAAATAAGTAACATCTTGGAAAATTCCAATTGTGTTAAAGTAGTAAAGATAGAAAAAAAATGTGAGCATCCAGACTGAACATGGCAAAAAAAAACTACCTGTAAAATAATGAAAATCCAGAAGATATTGGCTATTCCCTCTTCAATGAGAGGCCAAAGACAGGGAATGGCACCACAGTATTTTCAGGAGATGGGGAGGGGAGCAGTCTCATTGAGTTGTATGAATAAAGGCAGGAGAAGCAATTTCATGGATGCAGGAGCTCATAACATGTAGCAACCACTCACTCTTGCTGCAGAAATTCACTTGAAGAATCTATGAACCCAGGTACTGAAGGCCTGGTAAATGGCATGGTGAGGGACCTAACACCCAACAGGTCAGACACCTGAATGAACTTGTCACAGGGGGATTCTGTAAGAGGAAAGAGGTGTTTGCTTCTCGAATGACTTCTGAATAAAACTTGAAAGCAACCAATTTTATAATGAATAATTATCATTCATTATGGGAATAACCCTGTAATTCAGCCTAAGAATTTCCTTTCCCTGAGGCAGTTTCACCTCTAGACTTACAAGTTCAGTTAAAGGCAAGTGCTTTAAAAATGAACTAACATTTAGGCAAGCTTACAAAGGATTCCCAAATATGTTAAAAATGGAATCTTGGAGAGCTTGAACACATAGATGCCTTTTATCCGTATATTTTTTAAAATGAGTTTTACAGCACTATTGAGTGTGTTGAACCTTGTAAATGAGCACTGAGTTTAGAGAAGCAAAGACCACTGGGAATTTTTCTTGAGTTTGATCATGTGATTTCTCAATGAGGTTCCTATAACACGATACACCCAGAAACCTAAGATCTGCATTATCAACTGGCTGATATTTATCTCTCCTACAGATCAATGCCTACACAACTTCAATAACTCTAACTCAGGTCTTCTTCTTAGGTTGGATTAGGATTCATGAATCCAAAGCTTACTTACCCATAATTGCATCATTAGTCCTGATTTGCTCCTGATTCAAAACCAGATATAATACATGAAGATAAGAAAAAACAAACCACAATCAAACTTAAAAGTCAAAAAGAGAGGGCTGGAGAGATGGCTCAGTGGTTAAGAACACTGACTGTTCTTGCAGAAGAGCCAGGTTCGAATCCCAGCACCCACATGGCAGCTAAAAACTGTCCATAAGTCCAGTTCCAGGGGATCCGACAGCTTCTTCTGTCCTCCATGGGCATTGCACAACACAGGTGTACTTATTTACATGCAGGCATCACTCATACACATAAAATGAAAATAAATAAAATATTTTTTAAAAGAGTCAAAAAAAGAAGAGGAAGGAGTGAAAATAAGATAGAAAAGTGAGAGGAAAGGACACAGCAATAACAGAGAGGGGGCAGGAAGTAGAAAAGAGATCTGGTGTTCACTGAGCATTTATTTCATCCTAAGCTCCTTGCTATGTACTCTTTCTAGTTATTAGTTTGATCCAACTAACATCCTCCCTCCAAACAAGTCCTATGAGCATGGTCCAAGGGTAGGTGCTGGGAGGAACAAAATGAATTAACGCAGTGTTTTCTCATGCAAAGATGGAAACCAAGGCCAGTATGTGTGGCTGGGCAGGTACATAATGATGGACCTTGAGCAATGGTACTCAGAGACATGGTTCCCAGACCAGCCTCAATTCCATTAAGAACCTGCCAGAAGTGTACATTCTCTGATCACACCCCAGAATCAAAACTCTGGGAGTGGGGCCATCTACCTAAGTGTGAACCTGTGCTCTAGGACCCTCTGGTGTCCAGTGAGAGCAAGTGAGTTTGTAGATCCCATTCATGCCGAGAGAATTTTTTGTTGCCTTATGCAAATCCTTGACAGAAGGAAAGCGTTTTGCAGAACTTACAATTTGTACTTCAGATCAGAGTCATGTGACCTCTCGTAGCAGCTCTCCTGGACTGAAAAGGAACATCACCACTCTATGGTAGGGCAGGGTTATCATCACTCACACAGCAAATGAGACAAAACTCCTGTAATGCCAATCTCCAACAAGAGAGCCTTTAAATTCATGACTTCCAAATCTGCTACCAGGCAGATGTCTGGTTCTAAAATCGGTATGCCCACAAGTTCTCACAGTAGCCTCCTGACCAGTTAAACATTTCACACTGCAACTGCCCATTACAGTCTCCTGTTGAGAAAAGCACTAAAGGGGGTCATGCTTTCCCATTTGCACATTTCAGCGGAATTACAGGCAT